CTGCCAGATCACCAGATCTCTCTCCCATCGAGCATGTCTGGGATATGATGGGAAGGCGATTGCATCTGGCACGGAATGTTGATGACCTCGTCCGACAATTGGATCGAATTTGGCAGGAAATACCGCAAGAGACCATCCGGGAGCTTTATCGGTCTATCAGCTTGTATCCAGGCTAGAGGCGGGTCAACACCTTATTGAACTTGTTACTGTAACTCTGCAATTAATTATTCAATTGTTCTGAAATTTTAATCATTTACTATTCTGTACATTGTCTTCCTATCCACCATTTTTCGTTTCAATCGGAATACTCCTTCTTGGTGCGTCGATTTTTTTGTTATAGAGTGTAGTTATAAAATTACCTGAACAATTTCAATGCAGTCTTCAAAAAATGTTTCTGGAGTGTCCCTTAAAATGGCAGGCAATGCTCCTTGCACAATAGTATTGCTTCCAATGATCCTTTGGCTCAATGCTTGTAGTCCACGGCGGACCTGTAATTTTGAATGTTTATTTGTAATCAAAATAATTTGCTACAATTACTAATAATAATTATGTCTAGGGCCGTAAAAGCCCAGTGGTTAGAGAATAATATTGCTGTTTACAATGTATTATTGTTTGCAATAATATTTCTTCCAATGATTCTTTGACTCAATGCTTGTAGTCCACGACGCACCTGTAATTTATTTGTACACATGTAATCAAAATAATTTACTACTATTACTAATAATAATAATGTGTAAGGCCGTAGTAGCCTAGTGATTAAATAATCGGGCGTGATCGGGTTCAATCGTACCACGGAATACAATATTATTGCTTTTTACAATAGTATTGTTTTCGATGATCCTTTGGATCAATGCTTGTAGTCCATGATGGACCTATTATGAGTAATTTTGAAAGTTTATTTGACACACGTAATGAAAATAATTGACTACTGTTACTAGTAATAATAATGTCTCGGGTCCTAGTAGCTCAGTGGTTAGAGAATCGAACGGGATCGGGTGCAATCCTCGACTCCGCTAAAACCTATAGAGTACATGCGATAAATGTGCTCGTAAAATCTGTGGAATCGGAAGTCCCGTAGTCGGTCGCTGCGTGGTACCATGGGTACAGGGATCTGGAGAAAATTTTCTTCCCTTTCCGATCTGTGTCTAAACTGAGGAAGTGGTTTCGCGAATGAGTGGTGCTGCCATCTATCCGTGGGGTTCTGAACTAAGAACGCACTTTCAACCTTTCAGTACTCTCTTGTCAAACGAAAGGCGCACCTTCCTGGTTAATTTACAAAAGGCCAATGGCTGGCGAACTTGGTGTCGTCATGTGTCAATATAAGGAACAACATAATATACTGCACTGATGTTTCTTTTCTAATTGTTTAATAAAGTATTAATTAAAAAAAAAAATAGTAAATGTCTGAAATTTCTCAAACATCCTGTAAAAATAAGAGATTTTTTTGTGAGTAGCGATTTCTGAAATTAATATTACATTTACAGATAGTTTTCAGGCATACATTCTTCACAAATACTTAGTATCAACGCTTAGTAAATCTACATTGTAATTGGTTAAGAAAAACTTGGTTCAAAACTTATTTATTTTAATAAAATCATAAAATATTAACTCAATGAAAATTCATATTTATATAGCTGCGAACAAAACCAAGTTGAATTATTTTCCTTTTTATATAGAGAGAAAAACGAAAGCTTTATCTTTACCTCTTTTCCAAATATATTTTGTCGATCATGAATTAAAATCCAACCCATTCTCC